GTTGGATCATGTTGGATGACTTTCTTGTACGTTGAGACCAAGAACATGCAACAAAGAATACTGTATATACATTAAGACAGGAAGCGGGTTTCTCCTCACCACTTTTCCCTCTTCCTTGTTGCATCAGGACTAGAAATGCCGCTAGAAGCATCTGACCCCAAAAGTGGGCAGCCACCCGTGGTGAGGTCCCTGGCGCTTCCACCCCTCGACCCCTCCGTCAGACATGGCACGGGTGGGCGGAAAAGGCACCGCGACCGGGGTCCATGGCAGCTCGTCCCGGTCCCAGGAGGCATCTTCATCGAGGAGATCGTTGTACCTCAGGTACAAGAAGCATCGTTGAAAGTTGAAAGGTTACCTTTGGGTAGTTGAAAGGTAAGCAGCTTCCAGCAAAACAAAACGCAGCAAGCTGGCAGCCCCAAGCTAACCAGGCACCTAGGCGGTTCAGAAATAATGCTCTATAGCCTATATTACATACCACACAAGGCTCAGTGAGCCATGTCTTGAGAAAGTAAAACCCGTTCTGTTAATGATGGGGGTCCTTTCAGTTGTAAATGGGTGAACTGGCTTTGGGGAACATCCTGATGCAAACAATTGATCAAGTAGAATCGAACAAATACTCCTTATATAGAATTTTAACGTACAGTAGTAAAGCAAAGCAATATAAAGCAATATAAAACATATATCAAGCGAATGACGTCAATTAGGCAGCGTGGTGGCATGGCGGTTTTTTTCTCTGAGCTGCGCCGATACGGCGATACAGCGATACGCCGATATCGCGGGTGGGGGGATATCGGTGCGGCGCCGATACGCCGACATCCAGGGCTGGGGGGTATCGGTGTATCGGTGCGGCGCAGATTTGGAACCCGCGGTGCCGGCACAATGAATTTTCCAATTGAACACCGGATGCTTTTCTTTTACGTACTCTTGAAAGAACCCCTGCCCCCTCGTGTTTCACGTGGCTCCCAAGGCACTTCTTCAAGTCTATCACGTCATCGCTGTTGATGACGGGCGGCACCGTAGGCAGCTCAGGGGTCAAGACGCACGGCTGCATGGGAGCCGTGGGCTTTGACGCCTCAGCACCGGCCCCCTCGCTGGCGAATCAGTGTTGTTGTAGTGAGTAGGGGTGCTCGAATAGAGGCACAACCAAGTCACTGAGGGGTGGCTCCCTCCTCTCACACTCAACTCCATCTCAACTCCTGTACCTCATCTGATTTGTCAAAATCACAAGAAATGCCTGTGCGTCAGGTCACCGCAAGTCTGTGGCTGCTTCCTACTAAATGCTGCCTATATCATCCTACATCCAGTAATTGTTTAACAACCGAGGGATGAGGGAGGTACCTTGGTTGAAGAACACTTTCCCAGTGTGACTCCAATGGTTTCAAAGTAGATGGCGCAATCCGATCCCGGCTGACCCACTTGTCAAATGACCTACAGAAGCACCTTGAATGGAGCCAGGAGATACAAGGATAGGACCACCAAAAGTAAAGCTACGAAAAGGCTATCAAAGGCTGGGATCCCGTTTCTGACAAGCACCAGCCAGTCACCCGGTGCAACTCAAATCATGCTTTTCAGTTATAGGGTATCCAATCTCCAGTTCAGATTGAAATCCCAGCGAGCCTAAAATCAATAAATATCCCATACAATTGTGTCCCTATGGCCAGGAGGGCCACCATGGGCCACCAAGTCACCAGGTGTCGGCAGGGAAACAAGCTACAAAATGCTACAAGTATCTACAAGTACAAGTCATACAAGCGATGCGGCAGGGCGCTGCCAATGAATTCGTTGACCTCGAATCTGTGAACCGTGACGGGGATGGAAAGGGCGAAGATGAGGACTGTCCTGGCTCCAGTTCGATGCAACGAACTTTCACGAAGTACCCACCCTCTTAACTTCTACATACTATGCAGTGACTCGGCAAGTTGTAGGAAGCCGGAACACTGTCCAAACAGCTACTTGCGACCTTATTATTCATACCCTCCAACATCATGTTTGGAGGTCCTGCTTGAAAGCATCTAACGACCCCAGTCCACCCCCCAGTATATATATATATACCTCCAGACCTCCAAGTTGATCCATACCTCCAAGAAAGAAAGCCGAGGCCGGCTTTGGCAGAATGGATCTGGTGATCTGATGCTAACGTTCGGCTCATCGGCACGCTGAGGTTCATCCCCATTGATGAAAATCAACCAAGCCAGGCTGAAGTCTCATGCTTCACCCAACCTGCCCCCGCCATAGGCCAAAGCTTTTATGGGGCCCAGCGAAAGCACCTCCGCGAACTTGACAGTCATCACTTGGGTGACGATAGTCAACCAAAATGACCCGGGCATCTAGCTATTTGATGCTATTTGCTTAAAAATAACTCAAGTGCTCACTGCGCCCCCAAATGCAAAAGAAAAGCAAGAATCGCCAACCAACCAGCGTCGTTCAACCCAAACCCGATCTTGGAACACAGGGACGTGAACGGTGTTCCAGGACGCTGCAGTGTTCGTGTCAGTGGAACATCCTCGAAACCCAAAAGTGAACTGATCCGCGTCAGTGTTCGTGCACCAAAAAACGGAGGGCTGAATCACCTCCAAAAAACGGTGCAAAACCCCTGTGACATCACTGCTTCCGACCAGCGTCTCGAGTTCCAGCTGCCCCTCGAACTCTGTCGGCTTGACAATCTGGAAGAGCAACGGACGCTCAGGTACTGCTTGTCATTCGCCTTGGAGTCCTGCCAAAAAGCGAAGAACAAGGACACATGCCGGCAGAACCAGGATTGGTGCCTTGCTGCCTTGCTCATGCACCCAGAGAAGAACATAGAGGCTACGTAGTACTATCCATAATGCGAGGCCAAGATTGGCCATAGCTCAAAGAAAAGGTCACGGTATGACACGGTCACCTTCTGGGCATTCCAAGCATTCTGAAGAATGATCTTACAAGATGCCACAAGACTAGACAGCTTAATAACTTCGACACAAGAATTCTCTATATAATATTCTTGATATCTTCCTGCGATGCAGTGACCGGGGAGGTAACAGTACCTTCTCCTACTGCACATCACATCCCTTTCTGGGCTAGTGGCATGCTAGTGGCAGGCCCGAATCAAACAACTGCAAAACAACCAGCAATCAATTTCAATGCTACATAAAGCTTCACTTGGCCAAGTAGTGGCCATGAAATTTGCATGTTGGACCACCATCTTCTGCTGGACAACGTCATGCGTGGTCAACAGGTCGTCACTTCGACATACCCAACTACCAATGGCTGAAAAAAAGCTCATCGTCTGGAAGTCGGGAGATCGGGACCATCATTGCGTCTTGATAGATTGGAAATGATTGGAACATATTTAGATGAACACCAATAACTGGGTGGGACCCAGTAAACCACTTTGACCAAAATGCATCAGCTGGCAAATCTGAAAAGTGAACCCTCCGGACATCATGATCGAAGTGTTGCAAGGCCTCTCTTGATGTAAGGTTGGCACACCTGAATTCTTTAGACTTTAGACCCGACCACACCAGAACTTCCGAAGCCTTCCGAGCGACGCTTCACCCGAGCGTAGCCGGAAGTGACCCCCGGTCCTGCCGGACTGGCAAGCTGGCGTCCTGTTCTGCTGGCACCACTGCGGAGTCTGAGGGCTGAACCACACGCACTTGGTGCATCTCCTCAGCGCAAATCTCCTCCTGAGTGGCGAAAGGGATGCGAAAGGGTTTTTTGATGTTCTTGATTCTTGAGAAATAAAATCTCCCCAAACCCAGGATTTCAGCCAATAATTCAATAATATGACTTCAATATGCCAATAAGATCCAATAAGTGTGACTGGCAACTTGAAGAATGGTCTGCTTTGGCTTGGTTTGGATCGTTGGAGGTCTTTCTCACACTTCAATGACATCGAGGGTAGATGCCTTTCCGCAGCTTCCCTTCCGTGGGGGGGCTGCACGCCCACCGCTTTCAACGAGATGGTGCCCACATCCAAAACCTCAAAGTCTACTATAGCCGAGTTGGGTGGTACATGATCTTATGAGATCTCATGAGACTTCTTTTAATAATGAGACTTATGATGAGATATCTTCGGGGGATGCCGCCCACGGACTGGGGCCCTTCGGGATGTCCCAGTCCGTGGGCTCGACTGAGGGCGACGTGTGAAGAGGTGCGCTGTTCGCAACTACATTGGACCCATAGACAGGTAGAATCGAAAAGGTGTCTATGGGTGTGGGCACTTCTTCCACAGGTAGACACCTCTTCTGTAGAACATGACCTACAGTAGAATCGAAAAGCAAGTTTCCCTGCAAAACAGGTCATGGACGGACATCCTATCGTGCCTCCTTCGGCCACCTGGAGGAGTGAAGCGGCTGAGTGCGGAGTGGCCCACTCGATGCACACTGAAGCTGCTCCAGTGACATCAGGGTCAACATCGAAGGGGAGAACATGGTCCTGCTGGAGTTGCCCATCAGTGTCCCCATTGAAGAACCATCATGTGAGGGTGTGTGATGATGTGTGATCTTTCACCCGGGAGGGACAGCTTAGCTTCGATGGTAGTAAGATCCGCAACTGGTGCACTCGCGCCGCAGCCCATGGCAGGAGCAAATCTCTACCTGCACAGTCGCAGAAAAGTCGCCCAAGATTGACTATGACTAAGAATTGCAAAGGTGCTGCGGCCCAGGATGCGGCAGGCGATGACAGCTTCCAGCTTGCAGATCTGAAACATGCCAGTCTAACTTCATCGAAGTTATATAACAAGATTTGGAGATGATGAACAACCTCGTCAGGCTGAAGTCTTGACCTTCCTACGCCATGCAAGGCAAAAATTCAGTCGGACAAGCATAACTATGGTCACATGGAGCCATCTAATTACTATCTCCAGCTCGTACGAAACAACCACCCCGACTCCTTTGCTCTGCTGCTAGTGCGGCACCCCGGTACACGTATGTGGTCGCGACGTTTTGGTGGTGAAACCCGAAGAGTGCCCGCCGTGTGTCCAGCGATGTTCATGCGTTTAAAATCTGGGCCACCCCCACGTAGACCATGGCCGTATGGATGCCATTCGCAATCCGCAGTTTCAAGGCCTCGGAGTTCGGAGTTCTTTGAGTTTTAGATGGCGATCCTGGGGAGCTACGTCGTCACACACGACCGAATGAGAGTTCACACGTGCATGCTGCACCAGCCGTGGTGCCTGCTTTAGAACGACTGAGTTGCACCAAATGCTGCACTGGAGTACTTCGAGTCGTTCACTTATACTTTCGAGATCTGTCGAGTCCTGCAGTCAGTGGACCCTCACATCATGGCGGACCGTGGAACCTTGGCGGCCAAACGAACATGGAAGCGGCCTGTGCTGCAAGCCAAACGAACTTCTTCAAACACAGCGCTGCAGCTGCATTTATAAATACCATTATGTGGGGGCCCTATCTCGTTTAGACTACTTATATAGGTAAGGAGGTCATGACTGTCACACTATCTCGTTCACACTGCTTTAGTAGCAGATCACACCATCTCGTTCAGACTAATTACGTGTTAGTGATTAGTGTCATCAAGCAAAAGTATCTCGTTTATGTGGGGGACCTATCTCGTTCACAAGCGAATACTGCCTATAGACAAGCAAATTAAGCATGACGTAGACTACTTTAGTAAAGCCTAAATATAGGCGGTTGCTCACATTGAAACCAAGGGAAATGGCTGTTGCTGCCACCAGTGCTTCCCCTGGGTGTCAACCCCCAACAAGAGACCCTCCAAAGAATATCCGTAGACTTGGCAAAGGAGAGACAGCAAGGCGGAAAACGCCACGGCAGGTTTACCTTTCTAACATGTTCTAACTAGGGGCATCCAGTCGGACATGGTTGACATAGTTGGTTCTCGTGCGGACCGAAAAACGAAAACACTTCGCCCAGCTTCTTCGTGGACAGCACGAGAAGCTCCATCCGTTGCAGGAAACCGGATATCTTTACCCTCCGTAGAATATATACCGTCTTATACACGGTTTTTTGGCGTTAAAACCTGGACCTGTCTTGCATGAATAAATAGCAGCAATGGACACATCCAATGGCGCAACGGGCAACTACACTCTGACATCTCTGACTCACTATATAAATCTATAATAATTTATATAACATGGAGGTGGGCATCGATGAAATTGGCCAGTTGGAAGACCGCGTCATCCATGGTCTACCAATCACCAACGATAGCTAATTAGCAGCTAAGGCACGATGTCCTGAGCAAGTTGTCCTGCTTGGGTGCGCCTGGGCAAGAATCTCTGTAGAAAAAGGATCACAACCCTTTGACTTTCAACCTCCAAAGCAAAATCATGGGGGTGGGATGGGGTGGGTAGTTGTGCCGTCTATGAACAAATCCCTCGAAGGACGATGGCAACAGTTACAGTAGCAATCGTCAGTGAGGGCAATGATAGAACTCTACAAATAAGCCCTTGTGCAAGAGGTATGGTATGGTACTCTCATATCTCCTTTGCGTAAGTCGTAGGGATACCGAGCTGTTCTTAAGCAACACGATGATCAACACCAAGATCTAATCTGATTATATAGGTCGATCCATTAACCCATATACTGTGTAGCCTCGCCCTACCACAGAAGACTAAGGAACGAGTCCCTACATCAGGTTGCTGACGATCAAGCACGAACACCCACCAGGTGCACCACGAACCCTCCACCGCTTGGGCACCCAGCACCACCACACCAGGCACGCTGCCAAACTGAGGCAAAACACTCTGCAAGTCCTGCACGCGCAGAACATCGGGCTGGCTTGGGTGGATCCTCAGCACTCTCTTCTCAGAGCGAACGCAACAAAAACGGTTGCGAATATCATCGAATACCATGACATTCACGTGCAGAAAGAAGATCCGGTGGCGCATCGTGATGCACCCGGTGGCGTCCACCACGACGTCCGCGGTGGTCGAAGGACGTCCAAGGTCTCCACCGATTCCGTCTCGCGCCTCAATGACGAGCGCCTTGCCGGGGAGTGGCCTCAGTTGGAAGGCGGTCTGACCTGGTGAAAATAGCAACATACACCTCCCGTATAGAAGGGGATTGGCCAATAGGGAGAATACAATAACCCGATATCACATGATATCACCCAATCAAAACTGAGGGGAATCATGGAGGATCACCTTCACCGCACCGCGTATCTTCCAACCCTCCACTGAGAACAAATCTTTCAGGCTTCTGGTGTGTTTGCGTGGCGCAGCTTTGATTTGCCTGGAATCATCACTATGGATATGATATGTGATGTGTCCAGTCTTTTCAATTTTGCTGGTACCGGTACCTTACCCTGCGACAACATAGCACCAACTTTACGTGCCAAACCGCTCCCAATGGACACGCTGTAAATTCAATGTAGCTTTTCCAAATATGTCCAAATCACATCGGTCACAACCTGGAGCAACTACACTCCAAACGCTCGTTCCAACTGAAGCCAAGTCCCTCCTTCCAATAGTCCTTCACCATTCATTCTCTGTGAAGCCTCCTTTATTTAAACTATAATATAACATAATATAATATAGATAATATTATATAACATATATATATATATATGTGTGTGTGTGAAAATTTTATATATACATACCTACGTCTTCTGACAGTGTCTTTTTCATGCCTCTACATAGGCAAAACACCTCTCCACTTAGAGAGGCTGATCAGAAATCATGGAGGCAAAAGTGACTTTTGATTGATTTGGGTGCTGTGGAACAACTTCAAGTGTATAAGGAGTTCCCTAAAATATAGATTTCATTGGAACCACTCCCTTCACCACCCATATCAACCTGGTACCACAGCAAGGCCATCTCTGAGCGCGGCAAGGTGGCTTGTGCAATGCATTTTGGACCAAGCGTGTGGAACCCTGGCTTGTGGGAAGGACATGATCTCGGAACAAGCAGTCCTGAAGAACAACCCCACCAGGAAACCAAACAATTTGGTATAATTGCAGTGGGTGTTTGGCAAATGTTTGCAGTATATCTTTCAATGATTTTCAATGTCATGTACTGCGTTTTGGGGCTTATCCATATCTCACTGGATGGCACTGCACATGACTGGTGCAGCTGGCATGGAGAGATGATGAACAGGTGCGGGTGTTTGGTCTGAAGTTGGAGTGGCAAGAGTCAAACTAGAAAGTCATGGAAGGCCTCCAAGCCCCCAAACATGGTTTGGCCAAAAACATGTGATGAGTGAGCCGCCCTGTCCGCTCAGCACCCGCAGGCGATGATCGCTTTTGCGATGCTCTCAGTGGTTCTTCCAGGCAGCACTGCCCTGTTTTTTTCCTCAGCGAGCGACGGTCGTTTCTTTTCTTCTGAGGTGTGCACCCGTGCTATTGAGTTAACTTTGTTTTTTTACAACACCACATCAAATACAAAGAAGTTGCTGATGCTTGCAACGCCTTTCAAGCCTGCTCGCTCAAATGTTCATGTGCAAGTTCACTCAATGAAGGGCATGAGGGGCATATACATCCCATATATATCGCACACGATTGAAGCACACATGTCTTCCTCCGCTATGGTGCCGGAAAATACTGAGAATGAGGCGGCAGTGGGAAGTCTAGCAGAACTTTTCGAAGGTGATCGCAGGATCAGAGACCGCATGCGTGAGCATGGATGCCTGATATTGTGGGTAAAGCCTGAAACAATGGGTGTTCCTAGCATGTCAGGCATTGCTTTGAACATTGAACCACTGAGACTTCTTGCCCAGTGGTGGTGCCCACAACAAAAGCATGCCAAGTCACCTTCTGTGACACGCTTGAAGCAGGAGGCCCGGCTCTGGGTATTTTACCATGGGAATGTTATGAAAACTGCTCACAATATTTTTGTTTAACGGTTACCAATATTTACACCACCATGCACCCATTAGGCCCATTAGCTTTTGGTTTATATCTTAAGAGTGTTTTCAACCAGTGCTTGGTAGGTCCATCGCCTACGGTCAATTTGCTCCCTGGTGGCCGATGCTCCCAAAATTCACCATGATGCATGGGGCTTGAAGAAGTTATTTTCGTATGCCTGTCGCCGATCAGGGGGTGACAAGGAGTTTGCCGAGGGCTCTCCGCATAGAAAAGCTCTTTAGCTGAAGGTGCAATTTGTTTGTTCTATTTGTTTTTTGTTGTTGTTGTGTGTGTGTCCTATACTATACCCTTGGACCCGTTGATTGCACGATCCATGCCTCCAGTGAAGCGTTACAAAAGATGGGTCCTGTCATTGGTTCAACACCTCTATATATATAGTGACCTGTGCCTGCACTTAGGACTCGACTGTTGAGCCTTTCTATGAGGAGCTCTTCAAGTTCTGGAATGTCCGCCTGCGACGTGCCAGTGAACCATCACCATCGACAGTTGTGGAAGTGGAGGACTCCGATGCTGAGGATGACCTGTGCCATTGGGTTGTGAAATCTGACCCCTACCCCTCCTCACCTGTGAAGATGGCAGCTGAAGCTGGTGCACCTGTTGAACACAGCCTGCAGGGGGCTATCACAGATTCTGGTGCATCAGTTTTGGAGGAACCTCTGATTGCAAAAGAAGAGGGTGCAATGCGTGACCAGCTCAAGACTGAAGTCGACAGTGGGGAGGCCACGAAGAAAGTGTCAACCCAGAAGGGCTTCAAGGAGCGCAGTACAAGTCTATCAAAGCAAGAGATTGAGGACAGGATCGCATACCTTACGACACCTGGTTTTTGATGTAACATGTTTGCCAGGGCCAGCTTGGCTTTTGCTCAGAGTTAATATATATACCTGCATGGGTATACGGAGACCAACACAAATAATGCCAACTAGAGCATAGTTGGCCCTATATTTGTTTTTTAGTGCTATCTCAACCCCTCTTTCTTGGAATGTTTGGTTAATTTTGGTTACTTGCAGACCTTGGTTGCCTGCTTGCCCCAGTAAGGAAACTCCTGAGCGACAAGGCCATGAAGAATGTGAGCACTGCAGCTCTTGACTCTGAGGATACTCAGGTGTATGAGGCATCTCCCATTGCTGCGGGACTCCAAAAGACGAGTTCAGTCATTTCCTTGGACGATGACTCTGACACAGAGCCACCGACTGATGATAACCTTCGCCGGTCTTTGGCCACAGAGTTTTCAACCGTTTACAATGCAGGCCCGCTGGTCATGAAGAAGCAAACTTTAAAAAGTTTTGGACATAGTGTTGGGGTGGGTCGATATTAAATTTCCTTATATAATTACTATTAACATGTTAGCGCACACTGTGTCAGGTGGACATGCGATGGGAGATGATTGGACCGACTCACAAGTGCCTATGGATGGATATGGGCCGCTGCAGCTTCATGAGCCAAAGGAGCAGGGTGAGACAGAAAGTGGTGCGAACAAAGCGTTGGCACAATCTGAAGAAGCTCCACAAGCTGGGTCTTCACAAGCTGAGAAGCTTCCATGTGGTGAAGCACCCTCCGGTCATTCAACTGGCATCCTTGAAAATCCAGTCGTGAAGGAGCCTGACGAGGTCACCAAGGAAGAGCTTGTACCAGCACATCTGGAGCCTAAGGAGGTCACCAAGGAAGAGCTTGTACCTGCACATCCGGAGCCCAAGGAGGTCAGCAACGAAGAAGTTGTACCAGCACATTCGGAGCCTATGGAGGTCACCAAGGAAGAGCTTGTACCAGCAGATCCGGAGCCTAAGGAGGTCACCAAGGAAGAAGTTGTACCAGCACATCCGGAGCCTAAGGAGGTCACCAAGGAAGAGCTTGTACCAGAACATCTGGAGCTCGAGGAGGTCACCAAGGAAGAAGTTGTACCAGCACATCTGGAGCCTATGGAGGTCACCAAGGAAGAGCTTGTACGTGCACATCCGGAGCCCAAGGAGGTCACCAAGGAAGAAGTTGTACCAGCACATCTGGAGCCTGAGGAGGTCACCAAGGAAGAACCAATTGAGCCTGAGGCCATACTAGTTGAGGAGGTTGGAGAAGGTGAAGGTGGTGGTGACAAAGGACCTTTCAAGGAGGAAGAAGTGAAGGAGGAGCCTCCCCTGGTGTTGAGGTGTCATCAATGGGAGATAAAAAACGCTTCGGTGGAGAAGGAGACTAAGAAGCAAAGCAAAGGCAAAGGGCGTGGGCGTGGGCGAGGCCGTGGGGGTCGGCGTGGCAGGAAACAGGCAGAGCCTGAGGTGATTCGTGATTCCGATGAGGAGGAGGAGGAAGGTGGTGAACCACCAGCCAAGAGGCAAAGAAAGAAGACTCCATGTGCAAAGCCAAAAGCCAAAGGGAAGGCAAGAGCCAAAGCCAAGGTCTGTGCGACCGAAGCTTCCAGCCTGCCCGATGGTGGTTCAGATTTGGCTGAGGACGGGAGTTTGGAAAATCATGACATACCGGTTGCTTGGTGTCTTTTGTCACTGGAAGGGGTTGAAGAACTCAATCGTGTCTATGGGTGGGGTCCCTGCGCACTGCAGGGCAAAGAGGAAGGTGATGGTGAGGTTGCTGGAGCGAAGGGTCTGAAGCGGAAGATCGAGACCCCAAATGAAGTTGATGAGGAGAAGCCAGAAAAGCAAGAGAAGGAGCATATCAAGAGCTTTGCAAGGCGTCCAATGCCTCGAAGCAACCCTGCGCAAAGCAGGTGGACAGCGATCCGGGATGTTTTTCATGACCAGATCCGGCAATATTTGGTTCAGTATGGATTCGCGAACTGCAGCAGCTGGGAGGCAAACGATTCAAACCTGTTGTGTTATTGGGCCTTCTCTCTCGATGTTAAATGTCTAATTTTTAATATTTTTGAGTATAGATCCCCAACCTGCCCTTCGATTGCCCTGGAGGCTGAATGGTGGAATTCCTGCATGGATGCTTTGCAGAACCATGCCCCGGCCGATGCCAAAAAGGGTGAGATCAAGTGCCCTGCCTTGGATTTCCCGAAGCTGGTTGCAGAACATGCCCAGGTTTACCTCGAGGAGACTTGTCTGAGGATGGAGCCAGAGAGCCCGTAGATCGATCGATGAACTAAAGACCTGGTGGACATCCGGGTATATGTGTTATCAAACACATGCTTTAATTTGTGTGTCTAGTGCAGCCATCCCTGGAATCAAAGTT